TGCATGGAAAGAAAGTAACATCTAGGGAGGCAATACAAGGAAAATTCATCCTTTCATTTTCTGGAAGTGTAGAAACTTTTGATCTGTAAGGCCACAGGAGACAACTAGAAAATGGGAATTGTTCCTGGACACCAGGGAGGACGTGGGAGGTTGGAAGGTCTCAAGTGTAAAGTTCTCTCTCCTCCTTAGGCTAGCTAGCTGATAGGGGCTTTGGGGCAGTTGATACCCATACTGATTTGTATCCACATTTTGTACCATAGCTCCTTCTCCCCTACCCTTTCGAAAAAAGGAAATATGAATGAGACTGGCACAATCACTTTAAGACCTATAAAATGAAAAGAGAGACTCCATGAAGCCACTCAAAAGCAGAATTGAGAGCTATTCTTGACGATGTCTTTTGTAAATGTATAAACAAGCTATAAAACAGTCCATAGCTCACTTCTCTCACTAGAAGGGCAACTCCTGATCATATTTTATTCTGTTCAACATATAGTGTACATAAATGTAATCCGCATATATGAAGCAGGTACTTGTGCACAGCCTGCATGAGCATCTTGGAAATTCGGCATTAGATGAAGAGATTCATAGTATTTTGGAGAATATTTTTTAAAATAGCAGATCCTCCTGAAAAGAAGTTGAAGATAGCAAAAGAGCCTTTTGGATAATAGTACTCTTTAAAATGGTGCATTGTTTCAAGAGCTGGAAGTCTGAATATAGTTTTGTTTCCATGGGAAACAATTAACTATTCATACAAATGCCACCACCGACACCAAAGAGCAGAATAGCAAAACAGAGGAATGGGTGGAGAAAATTCCTCCCATGCTAGCAGCTGAGTAAAATTTTATTGCATTGAATTTTCCAAGCACCCATATTTTGTTCAGTGTAATGCTTGAGAACATCTGGAAGTCATTCTCATGCCCACCCACCCTCTAATGTTGGAAAGATCTTTATGTATGTTGGCAGAAAAACTGGAAAATTACACAATTATTTAAATAGAATTTTTTAAAAAGAGATCTTACCATTTAAAGGGTACTCTGTCAGAAGTCTGATTTTAAAAAAGAGTATACAAATTCAAATTTGACAGTATTTCTTTAAATTGGAGTTGCTCAGATTAATTCGTGTAAACTTTCCTGGAATTGTACTCCTAATAGGAATGCAGGAAATTCCCTAGCAAATCAGAGTTACTGCGCACCATGTCAGTTTTACTGTCTCTGCCAGTGGTCAAGTACCCAGACATTTCAGAGGAAGCTTCAAAAAACTCTGCAATGGACAACTATGGAATAATCTGCCTACAGATAAAGCTTCTTTTTCACCACATTAGTGGTTCATATCTATTATTTCGTATCTGTGATTTTTTTAGTGTTCTTGGTTCATATCTGTTATTTTTTAACCTATCTGGCATAACTGCAGATGTTCTCATTTTATATAGAAATGTATAATTTCTTTTTTGAATTTTGCAGAGATCTTGGTCTCAATCATATCTTGGGTCAGTGAGTTCCACAAGCAAATATTCACTATGTATTAAAATATTTATTTTAATCAGTTTTAAATTGATTGCCTTTCAATTTAATTGGATGTTTCCTTGTTCATGTATTATGAGAATAATGTCCCTCTCCATTCACTATTAAATATTTATATCATGTGTATACTTGCTCATCTTCTCTTAACTGAAGAGTCCTAATTTTCATGTGTATACTTGCTCATCTTCTCTTAACTGAACAGTCCTAATTTTCAACTTGCCTCACCTGTAAGTCTTTCGGTGTATGCCTACACTGCAATAAAAACCGGCAGCACTGAGGGTATGGCTACACTTGCAGCTGTACAGCGCTGTGAGTTAAACTCGCCTTCGTACAGCTGAGTAGGGAAAGCGCTGCAGTCTGTCCACACTGACAGCTGACAGCGCACTGGGCGTGGCCACATTTGCAGCGGCATTGGGAGCGGTGCATTATGGGCAGCTATCCCAGCATTCATGTGGCTGCAATGTGCTTTTCAAAAGGGGGGGGTGGAGTGTGACAGGGAGTGTGGGGGGAGAGACAGTGGGTTTTGGGGTACTGAGAGTTTGTCAGCACGCTGCCTTTCAAGTTCCGACCCCCCTGCCCCCCCTGCTTCTCATTCACTCACTCAAAGCAAACAGCAAAATGTTTGCTTTTTCTCTCTGGTACGGAGCTTTGAAATGGTAGGTCCGCATTCCTGGAGCCGATCACAACAATGAAAAGAGTGGCCACTTGATAAAGGGATTATCACAGCGCAGCAAGATAACTCCTCGTTCACACTGACACCTGAGAGTTGTAGCCACTACGCTGCATCTCTTATTCCTCTCGGGGAGGTGGAGTACCTGCAGCGCTGTAGCCAGGGAGACACAGTGCTGTACGTGCCTTGCCAGTGTGGACGGGGAGTGAGGTACAGCGCTGTGGGCAGCTTTATTGCGCTGTAACTCGCAAGTGTAGCCAAGGCCTGAGTCTCAGAGCCTGGGTCATTTGACATGGGCTTGTGGGGCTCAGGCTTTTGGATTTTTACTGCAGTGTATCAAGTATTAGGGGGTAGCCGTGTTAGTCTGTATCCACAAAAACAACAAGGAGGCAGGTGGCATCTGAAGAAGTGAGGTTTTTTAACCCACGAAAGCTTATGCCCAAATAAATCGGTTAGTCTTTAAGGTGCCACCCGAATCTTTGTTGTTACTGCAGTGTAGACGTTTGGGCTCGGGCTAGAGCCTGGGCTCTGAAACCCTGAACCTCTACACTGCAATTTTATAGTCTTGCAGCAGAGCCCTGCGAGCCCATGCCATGGGTCTTTCATTACAGTGTAGACATTCTCAGTGTCTCTAATAATCATTGCCTATTTCTGAACCCTTATATTTCTTCTCTCTCTTTTTTGTGATGTAGTGACCAGAACTTCACACATTATTCTAGCAAATGTATATAAATATTATACATACATTCTAACTTTTTGTTTGATTGCATATATGTACATACTGGAGGCCTATAGAACAAGCAGTGCCTGGCCCTCCTGCCAGCTACTCTGCCTCCCAGAGATGCATGGGATATTTCATGCCACTCAAAGCTATTGTTCCAGGCTGTCTGCAGACCCAAGCAGATATTACGGCTTTGGTTATACTTGTCATATTTTCAAGGTTTTCTTTGCAACAAGCTCTAGAAACTTGCTTGGTTTTTTTTAAAATGAAATTTGAGATTCCAAACTCACCACACTACTCCGGGAGCTAGGGGTCCTAGCACAAACCAATAATGCCTATGCCAATCCTGTCTTGTCCTAACTGTGCCCTCAGCTCCCAGTCTTCCTCCTATGAGACACACAAAGGGAGCTTGGAGAGAGGGAGAGAAGAGTACTGAGCAGCTGGCTGGGGAAGAGAGAGTTTCAATCACTGGCCCATTTCCCTGAGCCCTATACTGCTAAGTTTGCCTGAAGGAAGAAACAGAAATGGCCAACAGGGAATTACTGCTGAGAAAATAAGCCAGGCACCAGACTCTAGGAGAAAAGATGAAGGGGTAGAGGGAACATGTGGACTGTGGAGGTGGGAAAGGCAGAGAGTACTGATGGACTGTAGGGAATGAGGGGATTAATTATGGTGGCTCAGATATCATGGAGTTGGGCAGAGTATGAAACCTTTTCAGAACAGAATGCAGATGGATAAAGGAGAATTACTTCACTGTATGAAAAGAGGAAAGTGAAGAAATGTGCAGGCAGCAGGGTGGATGAGAAAAATGATTAACTGATGGTAGGATGCATGGAATGCCGGGGGTATAACTGATATAGTGATGGGGCAATTTATGGATTTCTTTTTTTTGAAGGGGAAATTGTGCGAACCCACTTTGATTTATCAAGCAAATTATATGAAAGTGTCATGCAATTTTCACACCTCAGGCTTTTCTGCCAAGCCCATGTAGACAATTCTGACATACTCTGTAGTCAAGGGCCATGCAAGTTTATGTAGCATTTCATTCCTTTCAATGACACGCTTGAACACGCCACTTTACTAGTGACCATACTCTGTGAGCACCCACTGACGTCATGTTCAATTCTGTCCAATGCTGATTATCAAGACTGCTTTTTTGGATGTTTAATAGTTGGTTTCTGGATCTCAAATATGCTTATTCTTGCTCTTTGGGGAAAAAAAGTGACAAGATATGAAAATCCTGATACTGGTAAAAGTCAATGCTTTGAATACTTCATTGACAGAGCTTAACAGGAGATAAATCTGATGTTAATCAGTTACCAAACTGGTTTATCTACTGGTAGTTTAAGGTGGACATTATCTTCCCCATCTCATGGAAGACAAAACTCATACATCTTAAAATGGCTAGCTAAGATGCAGAAATCCCGGAACTATTCATGTGGTTTTATTTACATGATACGGTTTGAGTCTTTTATGTGTTTTTCACTATATTTGTTTGTTTATCTTCTTTTGCACTTTTAAAAATGTGATATAATCATTTTAGCATATGTCTTCACTATGGAGTTAACTCCAGTTATCTACACTTGAGCTGGCCTAACTCAAGTGAGTGGGCACACTGACAAACTGAACTCTTGAGGTATGCAGAATGATTGTGAGAACAGCTGAGGAGTTGTGCTATTGAGCTGTGTTAATTCAAGCTGTGACCTAGCTTGAGTTAAAAGCACCACCACATTCAAAAGTTAATGGTTTTTGTGTGTGGCCAGGACTTGAATTTGGGGCAATACTTGAGTTCACTCTGAAGTAAAGACAAGCCCACATATTTATACTAACCACAGTATTTAGGATTAGCTTCCTTCTGTACTTTATGAACAAAAAATACATACACTCCAAAAAAATCTATATAGACTATGTGATACAGATTTAGATTTTTCTGAGTCTGCCAAGAGTACATTGACTTAAAAAAAAATCACCCCAAGAAAATGGAACACTTAAAAACACTACAAAGATTTCAGTTTTATACCTTAAACCCCTGCTTCTCCCAAAAGCGATTAGGATATCAAACACAACCATTGCAAAAAATTGTACTTACTTGTATTTTAAGAGCAGCCACTGAATTAACCAGAGTCCTACAAGGATCATGCCATTAATTTCACAAATAGAAAAGGCCCATTGCACACGGTTAAAACGGTCAAAAAATGCATCTGGTAGGGGAGGCTGCACCTCCTTGGGAGGCACTCGTTCATGGACGACTGAGATCGTCACTGTGGTAAAGATGAAACAGAAAAGTGCATAAAGAAAAGCCAGGAAAGTCTTCCCCCACTCCATAGGATACTGGGAACGCTCTGGCTCTGGCATGGGGATCTTTATCATCTCCTTCCTATATCCATTTGGCATCCCATTCAGTTTGATTTTAGTGCTGAAATCATTTTCACTTGTGGTGACATCTGTACTGATGCGGAGGTGACCATTGGCATGCCCATTTTTGTGCGCCTCAATGTGGTGCTCCATTTTTAAAGTTTCTATCATGTACAACAACCTCTGTCCATTGTCAGAAGACACACGTGACAAAGGTGGCTTCTTAAAATCCTCCTTAGTTAGATTGATCAAATCCTGCCCAGTGTAAAATTCCAATGGTTCACAGTATTCTGGCACAGCATTCTCCATCAGCCAATTTGCCACCTCTTTGGGTGACCAGAATGCCACTTCTTTCATTTCGTCAGGCAAATGCATGCAGTCTTAAGTTTACTTTAAACCAGGCAGCAGTCACTATTGTTCCAATACAACAAAAAGCCTCTCTTTGGCTTGTTCATCCTGTCAGATGTGCAGCAAAAACCAGTTTGGCAAGTTGACAAGTACAAGTTTCTAAACACTTTGTAAAAATACCAATATGTTGTGGCCAGTCCAGGAAATGGTTCACCTTTTTTGCATTTGTATTCTTCTTTCTAGTGAGAGAGAGAGAAAAAAAAAGAGGTGCTAAGATGGTGTTTAACAGTAAGTTTGCATTTTATGTTCATCAGAAAAAATTAACCCAAAGAAGCAATAGGAGCATGAAGAAGTAGCTTTTTAAATTCAGACAAATGCATATGACTTTTCTTTTGAAGTTTGTTTCTGAATACTCAAGATAGTTACTAGTTTGATCTTCTGTATGTGTCATTTTAACAGTTAATATAAGTTGTCTGGGGCAGGGAACCTCTTTTTTTCCCCCATGTTTCTACAGCGCTTGGCACAATGGGGTCCTGGTCCATGACTAGGGCTCCTCAGGCTAGGTAATACAAATAGTAAAATCATTACATGTTCATCCATCAACTGTGTGATCTTACTAATGTAGCTCCTGTCCTCTCACACCCCTTCCATACTACTGTATGGTATGCTCACTCTTTGTATCATACCTAGAAATTAGACTGTAAAACCCTTGCCTTTGTTCTGTCAAGCACCCAGGACAATTTGGGGCACCATATAAACTAATAATTGTAAGTATTGTTTAAAGTTAGCAAACACCTGAAAAGCTGCAAGTGTGGTTTTTCTAGGTATGAGTTTTTTTCCCTTAAAGTAATAATTTACTAATTTATAAAAAGAAAAGCTTTGTAAATCACCTGTTTTTATCAGTTTTGCAGTTTTATAGTGAGAATTATGGCAGCTTCTTTAAAAGAGTGAATTTAGCATTCTAGCTAGAGAAGCACCAAAGAGGCAACATATAAGTCTGATGCAAATCATGCTCATCTCAAGATGTTTTCACAAGATTTTAGCTGAAAGTATAGGTAGTCAACTGATGATGTGAGATTTCAGCCATCTTGAAGATCGAAAATCACAAGATTTTGGTCAGACTGAAATCTGAACTGGAAAAATAGACCCTTCCAGTTTTAGATGCAACATAAAATCTAAGCAGAGGGAGTAGTTTCAGATCCATGATGTAGATATTAACTGTACAAACTTTGCAATAGTTCTGATTTAAAGTTATGGTTTATTATAATCTGTAATTTTAGCAGCCCCATACTGACTTAATGTTAAATAATCAACAAAATAAAATGTACAATACAAAGCAAAATGCAAGCTATACGTCACAGAAATGTGGGGCTGCAAGGGCTCTCAAGAGGTTATCGAGTCCATTCCCCAAGAGCTGAAACAGAACCAAGTATACTTAGACCATCCCTGACAAGTGTTTGTCCAACCTGTTCTTAAAAACTTCCAGTGATAGGGACTCTACAACCTCCCTTGGCATCCTATTCCAGTACTTAACTACCCTTACAATTAGAAAATTATTCCTAATATCTAACCTGAATTTCTCTTGCTGCGAACTTAGGCAATTACATTTTGTCCTACCCTCAGTGAACATTGAAAACAATTGACAACCATCCTGTTTATAACAACCTTTTACGTATTTGAAATCTGTTACGTCGCCCCTTAGCCTTTTCTTCTCTAGACCAAGTATGTCCAGTTCTTTCAACCTCTCCTCATAAAGTCAGGTTTTCTAAATCTCCTATTTTTGTTGCTTTCCTCTAGGCTCTCTCTCCAATTTGTCCACATCTTTCATAAAGTGTGGTGCCCAAAACAAAATACTCCAGCTGAGATGCGACATGCCAGTGCCAAGGTGAGTCGAGCAGAACAATTATCTCATGTCTTACATATGACACACCTGTTAGTATATCCCAGAATATTTGCCTTTTTTTGCAATTGCACCATATTGTTGGCTCATATTCAGTTTGTGATCCTCTATAATCCCCAGACCCTGACCAACTATTACCTATTTTGTAGTTGCACATTTGATTTTTCCTTCCTAAATGAGTACTTTGCACTTGTCTTTACTGAATTTCATCTCGCTGCTTTCAGCCCAATTCTACAATATATCTAAATCCTTCTGACTTCTATTCCTGTCCTCCAAAGTGCTTGGAACCCCTCCCGGGTTCATGTTGTCCACAAATTTAAAAGAATACAAACGATTAGAATATTCTATAGACTATGAAAACTGGTACAACAAGATTTTACTGGGGTACTCAGGCCTGTGAGTCACCATGTTCCACTCCCTCCAGTGCCAGGGAGTCTTTCTTGTGTTTAGCTGAGTGTTAGTTCCCTGAGGTTAAGCACTCTCCTCTGGGCTATGCCAGCCCTTACTTTGCATTGCAGTTTAACAATAGGTTCACCCCGTCCCCAAGTCCCTTTGAAGCATTTCCCTGTGATATCCAGCCTGACACTGGCTACTTACAGAACTACCAGGTCTGCTGTTCTCAAAGGAAAAGAGCAGACCAGCTTGTAAGATTCAACTCAGGATCAATACTATGCTTAACGTCTCAGCTCTTATATATGTTTACAGTGAAAAGAAGAATAAATTTATTATCAAAGATTGAAGATTAAACGGACAGTAAGTAAAAATACTGGAAACAAATGGTTACATAGAAAACAAAATCATAATACACTTTCTAGAGACTAAGCTTAACTAACAGGTTAACCTCCTGTCCAAAGAAGTTTATCTCACTCGAAGTCTCACCTCTGCAGAGTTTTTAGCCAAGTTTGGTTAAGGTCCTGTTTTCATCATTGTAAATGTGATGTCCGTTTACTTCCTAAGTACAGGATAAGGGGGTGTCTGGTTTGCCCCTTAGCTATAACCCCAAAGTTCATTGTCTTTACTCTTAGCCAGGATAACCCCCTGTGGTTTGTTTTTTCCTATTTCCTGTTGATTTCACATCTCTTGGTTAGCATTTGACTCTGTATGTAGAAGGGCATCCATTGTGTTAGTATATAAACTAATCATTGTAAGCTAATAGAGAGACAGGTGAATTAACATCTCTTGTCTGACAGGAAACATGTTTTTTACCTCTGCTGGTGACTGACACCTTGATACAGACTGTAAGCATATATTTTCAGTATATATGCAAAAGTATCTGTACATATATTTCATGATGATATTAATAGCCAGTGTGATTCCGGCTTTTATTTGAGACCTCACATTATTATTATTTTGTGAACCAGAATGTATACACCAGAATCAGGAGATACCTGTCCCCTTCTATATTCCCTTGCCAGGTGGCATTAAGAGGTTCTTGGGTCACAGAAGCTATTGCAACTAGATGTAACCACTCTTAAAAACAAAGAAATATGAATAGGCTAAAACCATGTGATAGATCAGAGTAACAGCAATTTTAGAGAAGTGGGTTTTGCCAAACATCCTGCTAGAATATATGCTGGAAATCAAACTTCTCCAAAAGAGTAGGAGAAGAGTTGCATAATCCATTACAATCTGCTGAGTAAACAGTACGCTTGGGGGGAGGGATAGCTCAGTGGTTTGAGCATTGGCCTGCTAAACCCAGGGTTGTGAGTTCAATACTTGAGGGGGCCACTTAGGGAACCAGGGGAAAATCAGTACTTGGTCCTGCTAGTGAAGGCAGGGGGCTGGACTCAATGACCTTTCAAGGTCCCTTCCAGTTCTAGGAGATAGGATATCTCCTTTAAAAAAAAAAAAAAAAGTTATCTAAAGGCATACTAGATTATCAGTTTATGGAAAAATAAATATTTACATAATTTTCATGGGGCCTCTTTTCTCAATGCCAACATTAAACCCACAAATACTCCATGCTGCTAGTAAAGTAGATAGGCATTGGGTGATTCTGAGTTGAGGCAAAAACTGCATCTGAAATTCATGGCATTCTGCCTGGGTATTGCCGCTTATATTTTATGAGAAATCTCAAACATCTTGTCCAAATGCAGAACAAGAAAGCACTCCATCGTTCCATCCCCCCAATATTTATGGTCTATGTTTGCCACACAGCCAGGCCCAGTTTGATCATTTCAGCTTCTTGATACCTGCAGTAGCAGTCTTCCATTGCATGACATAAAAGCTTCAGAAAGGGTAAGGGAAGAAACATGGGAAAAGCAGGCACGCAGGGATAGATTTTGAAAGCTCTGGGGGGCAAGGAATGGGACCGGCACATTCAGGAAACCATTTGAGTTAATTAACTAATCTGACACAGAGAAAAATAATGCACATTCACTATTTTTCTACAGATATGAAAATTAACTAGATCAAGCCAGATGTAGAGTTACTTGTTCTCACAGGGTGACTGGCTCCTTTAAGGGGAATCAGGGCTCAGTGTTCATTCTGAAGGTCCACCTGAGAGTAACTGACTGTCTCAGGTGGCTACCTAAAGGTTAATTGGAGAAGAAAAGGGGATAGGGTAATGTGGGAGAAGTGGGAGCAGGCCCACTGAACCCTCATCCGGACAAGTCCTACCTCCCTACACCTGGACCTTCCGCTGAGCTCCCCACACTCAGACCCTCACCCCACTGAGCCCAACCAGCTGCTCCTGGACCCCCACCCCATCAAGCCCCAGCACTCCCCCAGCACCCAGATCCCCTCCGCTGAGCCCCATCTCCCCACACCCCTCTGCTGAGCCCCAACCACCTTCATCTGGATCTCCTGCAGAGTCCCATTGCCCCTGCACCCGGAATCCCTCAATAAGCCCCTGTGCATCCAGATCTCCCACTGAGCCGCCCGCACCCAGATTGCCTCGCACAGAAACCTCTCATCCCACATCTGTATCCCCCACACTTGGGTCCTTCTGGGTTGAGCCTGCCCACCCACACCTGGTGTGGCTGGTGCAGAGGGGCAGGGCCCCGGGGTGTTTTTGGGGCAGGCCCAGCCCTTGCACCGTGTCAGCAGCAGATGCAGCCTCACTGCCGAGTCCCTGTACGGGGGGGGGGGGGCATCAGAGTGATCTCCCACCTCAATGCAGCCAGTGGCCTGTGCTCCCCACTGCCATGCTGGAGCCACCTTTATTTATTGACAAATAAAATTTGCAGAATTTAAAATAGTGCGCAGAATTTTTAATTTTTTGGTGCAGAATTCCCTCAGGAGTATATACTGCATTAGTAATACCCTGAGTTATCCTATCCCCATTAGAGTTAATGTTAGCCTAATTCTCAAAGGTGTTTCTGGAAAGGTCAGTTTATT